TGTGTGTGTGTGTGCGTGCGCGCGCGCGCGCGCGCGCGCGCGCGCGCGCTCTCGCGCGTGTGTGTGCGTGCGTGAGAGAGCGAGAGAGCAACCACACACACACATATATATATATACACACACACACACACACACACACACACACACACACTCTCGAAAATATTTATTATATATATATATATATATATATATATATATATATATATATATATATATATATATATATATATATATATATATATATATATATATATATATATATATATATATATATATATATATATATTATGACTTATAATAATTTAAAAAATAGGTTTTAGCAATGATGAATTAATTAATTACGAGATTAAGTTTTTTTATATTTTATTGTATTTAAGGTGATCTGATTAGTCATTTTATTTATTTGGCAAACAAAAATAGGTTCTGGAATGATTTACAATCATCAAACTTTTACTTTCCTAAAAGTTTTTACAAAAAACCACTTAAAAACCATTTCTTTTAGGATGATATAATATGATACATTTTGTCCTCTTGTGGGTCAAATTAAACAAAAGAAAACGAAAAGTTGCATTTATTAATAGTAATTGTGACATATAGAGTTTTCTTATTTCTTCTGTCAAGTGGCCTAATTCTATTAGGCCTGGCTTGCTTAATGCAATTAACTTCTGTTAACTAAATAGTAGGGTTCAATAAGATATTTGATTTATAAAATTTGGATATATACTTGAAGCCAGCAATGAAATGTTACTCTTTGATTAAATTAGTAGTAATTTTCCCTGTGCAATTAATTTTGTAGAGCAATCTGCAAGTTATTATGCGATAGTGTAGGTTTCCTCAGTTCACCTATATGGTTGGCTGCGGTATTCCTCGTCACAAAAAAAAAAAGAAAATTTATTGAGATTAATTAAAAAAGAAAAAGACAACTTTGTCCCTAAATAGTATTTTAATTTTGTTACTAATAGACTTTTTAGACATTTCAAATTTTATATCAGAAATTTTCAAATTTAGTACAAGATTGAATCTAAATAAATCAAACTTCTTACTAACTAAATAATTTGTTAGTCGGTCAAATTATGAATTCAGTGTCACCTAATCGGACGCAATCCGATATAAGTAAGCAATGAGATTGTATTCTATTATTCTATATGCAAAACTAAGGGGGTGACCATTTAATAGTACTAAGAGTGCCAACTTGTACAACATAAAAGCCAGCTGTACCCAAATATGTAGTACAAATGACAACAAAAGACCAAACAAATTAATAGATTTATGGGGAAGAGTCTTAATTTGCCACTAATTCCACACTAAACCTACACTAACTTAAGTTGATCACCATCACCATTGGGTAAAGTCGTATAATATAATGGAAAAAAAATGATTAGTTCTTAATTTTTTAATTACAACAATCACTTAATCAAATGATGTTTTGCTCTCAGGTCAAACTACATTTGCTTTTCCACCGATGTTGACTCCGTGAATAATTTGTTATTGTCTTCCTTCCATATATTTAGTGGAAAAATACATCATTGATTTATTATATTGATTTATTTACATTCAATATGTTATATATTCAATTATATATATACATTTTTTTTTTGGTTATATTCAAACATAGTGTACAAAGATATTGATTTGAAACTGCATGCAACACTATTCTATATGATTTATCTGTTATAATAAAAAAAATATAAATAATTATATCCTAAAATACAAACACACACTAATGGTAATATTTTTTAGGGTAAATTACAACCAACCCCTTGAGGTATGCTCAAATTACGAAAATTCCCTCTTGTTTGGGTAATTACAACAACTTCCTTAACTATAAATTTTCTTACACGTTCACCGTTGCGGTTTCAAATTTAGTGGAATCTTCTCAATTTTATGGAATAGTATCACTTTTGTACCCATTTTATCCCATTCGAGCTCCATATTTTGAAGCAAGGTGATCATAAGATTATTTTTTTAGCTTGTATATATCAGATTGTGGTGCATCATTAACTGTATTTTAACACAAACAAGTACAAAATAGAGCACTTTCCATGGAATCTAGATGATTATGTTAAATTTGACACTATAAGAGTGGCAAACAAGTAAAGATTTTTCGTAATTTGACCATACCTCAGGATCGGCTGTAATTTAACCCTTTTTTTTAAATAAACTATCTCCAAGCATACTAAAATTAACCAAGCGTACCCCCACCTCATCCATCCTTAATACCACAATTACTCTAAAAAACGACGTCTTTTTTCACTTCTCCCCCTCTCGTTATCAACCCCAGTTGCCGACCGCCTAGTATACACCATTCACTACACTGGAAAATTTATTTTCATCAGTCTCATTCCTTTTCGGTCGAAAATGTTTATTTTCAATCCAAATTATTCAATTTAGTTGTTTTGTTTTCAGTCTAAACTGTCTATTTTCAATCAAAACTCTCCAACTGAAGCTCCGATGAACTTTTAGCAAATTCAAAATATTTGAACTAGCCTGTTAACTGTAACAAAATATTTTTGGAATTTTTTTAACAAATCTCCCTGAATATAAAGACACTTTCACACAGCTTCTCAAAGTGAGAATTTTTCTTTAGAGCATTGATTGACGACACCTTTACAGTGGATTGAAACAATTTAGGAACAGTTCTCTATGCTATAGTAAATTGAAAACACCCCACCCCCCCCGCCCCCCCAGTTGAGTGGTCCCACTTTAATTTTTAC